TGCCAGCCAGTTAGTGGCGAGGGTGGATGGCTGGCTGGCTGGCTAGCTGTGTGTCTGTCTCTTCGTTTTCATTATGGTGCAGTGTTGGTGGTGTTGGTGGTGCTGGTGGTGGCTGCNTATATATATATACATATATTATATACCATAGTTGAGTTAGCATACTGAATTATTATTAGTAGTAGTTGCTCTCTGCACTTATATGTCATCTAAATTACAGGGTATTTTTAAGTCATGCCTTGCAGTTTTTCGCACTGCTAGATCCTTTTTGGCGGCAAACTTTAATCGAGATAATTTCACTTTTCTGCTTGCAGGTTAATTCAGCAATGGGTCTTCAAGCAACAGCCGCTACCAAGCGGAAGCATGAGCTGACCTTTGACAGCAAGGATGCGAACACCACGTACACGGGCAACTGTGCGCCTCCCCCGGTGAAGGCCAACAAATGGGCCATCAACAACAACAACTACCTGGAATCGCTCGAGGAGCAGCAACCGCTACAGCAACAGCAGCAGCAGCAGCAGCAGCAGCAAAAGACGCCCACGGAACAGCTAACGGAATCCAACAACAATAATGTGGAGCCCGCAAAGCCAGCGCATAGTATTATTAGCAACGGTGACGAAGTTACTAACAACAACGGCAGCAGCAGCAACAATAACAACAACAGCAACAACACCACCACCAACGGCAGCAGCAGCAATGTCAAGAGTCCCGCGGAGGTGCCGCTGCCACCAACAGCGAGTGCTGCGATACCCGAGGACAACATCGCCAAGCTGGAGGTGGTGGCCGCAGTGCCCTGCGAGCCCTGGTCAACGGCGGCGTCGCCTGTGGCGGCGGTTAACAGCGAGCCCGTCGACTGCATATCCAAGCTGCAGGCGGTGGCCGTGCCGAGCGATCCCTGGGGCAGCATTGCCACGCGCTCGACGCTCGCCACGACGTTGCTGAGCGCGGACGAGCTGGACGACGATGATGATGATTTTGAAGACGATTACGAGGAGGAGGAGAGTATCATACCCACCTACTGTCCCATTCGCTATCATCCTTTTGCCCAGCAACAACAGCAGCAACAGCAACAGCAGCAGCAACAACAGCAGCAGCAACAGCAACAACAGCAACAGCAGCAACAACAGCAACAGGCAGCTGCGGCTGCGGCAGCGGCAGCGCAGCAGCAACGCAGCTATCCTCCCGGCTATGGCAGCCGACCCTCCTACTACTCGGAGCCGTTCCCGCAGCAGAATTGCTCGCGCACCGGCAGCCCGCAGCATATGACGCCGCGAGGATTTGCACCGCCGCAGTGGACCACGACAGGCGCCGCAGCTGGCGCCGGCTCAGCSGGCGCGACGAGCAGTGCCGCGGCCACGCCCAGCTCTGCGCAGCAGCAGCAGTTCTATGAGAATGGCGGCGGCGTTGGCGTCGTCTATGCGCAGCCAGCGCCACAGCAAACCATTCGCTGTGCCGAGAATGGCAAATCGTACATGGATCTGGGCTGCAGCAGTGCAACGACGACGACGCCAACCAGCGCGCTGCCCACCAGCAATGGAGTCGCCGCTCCGGCTCCGTTTGTGGCCGGTGGACTGCCACTGCCGCTGCACGGGCTGCCGCTGAAGCGCTGTTGCGACGGACGTGGCGGCTGGTGCAGCGCCAATCGCAGTTGCTACAAGGACACGCGACTGAAGATTCGCAACCTGTCCATGTTCAAGCTCTCACGCTTTCGCCAGGTGTCGGAGCAGTCACTCTATCGCTCGGTGCTCATCTGCAATACGCTCAAGCGCATCGATCGAGAGATCGAGACGGAGGCCAAGGAGCTGCACCATGCGGCGCAGCAGCATCACCAGCAGGCAGCAGCCGCAGCAGCTGCTGCTGCCGCACAGGCGGCGCAATATCATCCGGCCTATCAACAGCAGCAGCAGCAACAACAACAGCAGCAACAACAACAACAGCAGCAGCAGCAGCAGCAACAACAGCAGCAATCTCCGCCAGCACCGCTGCACCATCAAGACTATGCGCCTGTGCTGAATTGCGCTCGGCTGGCCAACATGGATCACTATCAGCAGCTGGCGCAGGCGCCCAGCTTCCAGCCTCAAGCGCCGCTCGGCTATCAYGAGCGGCTGGAGGCGCCGCCGCCGCCGTACAGGGCTGCAGCAGCTGCAGTTACTCCCAGTGGCTTTCCGGTGGCACAGCCCGGGCATGTGGCAGCCGCCTCGGCGACCAGCAATTGTGATACGTCCTGCAGCACAACGCTGCATCCGTACGATCACTATCCCTTCCGGGAATCGCAATCGGGTCGTGCCACGCCCTTCCCCACCTGTCAGACGACAGCGACGCCAGTGGCAGTGACAGCAGCTACAGCAGCCGCCCCTGCACCACCCGCTGCCAGTGCGGTGAGCAGTGTCAGCGTCATCCCTGCCATCGTCAGTTCAAGCAGCAGCAGCAACAGCASCAGCAGCACCAGCAGCAGTAGCAGCGTAACCGCCCCAGCTACAGTTGGCCAGGCCGCAGTCTGCTCCAGCGCCTCCTCCACCACCAGCAACAGCAGTAGCAGCAGTGGCAGCGGCAGCAGCCTCAGCAGCTCCGCGTCGAGTGCGGTCAGCGCATGCGACTCGAGTGACTCGGGCTATGCGGATGACGATTCGACGCGCTCCATTAACTGGAGCTCAGTGCTCAGCCTCAGCTCGCAGTCGGCGCTGGATCCGCTCAACAACAACGATCTGTTCAACATATTGCCGGCGGCCGCCACACCCACAGCGGTGCCCGTGTGYATAGCGAGCAGTGGYTCCACCCTCGCATTCAGTGGCAGCTTCACCACGGTACAGGCGAGCGCCAGCCAGAGCAGCAGTCACTCCTCCGCCTCAGCTTCGTCCACAACGGCCACGTTCACAACTCTGTCGACCATTTCATCCGCAACGCATTCGCTGACGTCGTCCTATGTGAGCAGCATCAGCTCGAATGTGTCGGCAGGTGCGAATACGTGGGAGTACGGATTCCTGGACATGGAGTTCGGTCTCGGATCGGAGTTCACCGAGCTGGTGCCCAGCTGCAAGCTCAGCTCCGACGATCTGTTCAAGAACGGCTTAAGCGCAACCGTCGCCAGCTCAAACGAGCTGGAACAGCCCGCTCACATCATGGTCGGCAGTTAGTATCAGTTGTAGGTGTTTGATTGCGCCGGAGACGTCGGCCGTGGCAGCCGTTGGGTTTAGCGTGCTGGTCACGCCCATCCAAATGGCGCCACAGCCCAATTCCAAGCAGTATTCAATATGTGTAATTGTTGTAGCAAAGAAATGAAACGGAATGAATGAAACAGAAACACTGTTAAAGTAATTTCGAATTATGCTCAGGTTGTGAACGTGCATGTTGCCCCGTCCCTCACCCAATACTTCCCCCTATTCGACAGCACCCACCCAATAAAAAGCGGCCCAATCCCACTTTACCCAAAAGCCCAGCCAACAAGCAATCGCCGCCAGGGGGCGCTAGAAAATAATTGCAATTGTATTGAAATGAGAAGAAGAAGAACTAAGAGAAGAAAATGGTATGATAAATGAAAACTATTAGCAAATTTTTTTAAGTGTATATATTGTAAAATGTCAAATGTAATGAAGAGAACAACCTTTAGCATCTAAGTTAAAAGTAAAAACAATTATATATACATATATAGTATATATATGATAAATATATCTATATTAGCGCGTATGACATGTAACTTTAGCTTTGTTAGTTGCAATTGTTGCAGTTTTTCGATTATACACTCTCACACTCACACACACAAACACACTTGCACTCACACCAACATACCATAAGTAATTGGAAGAATAGCAATTTTGCAGAAAAAAAAACACATCAAGTAAAATTTGGTAGTAAAGAACAACAAAAACAAAAATACAACAACAACAAGCAAAATCGAAAAACGTTTACTATATTGTAGCCATAAGTATTATTATTTATATACAAATGCAAACAAAACAAAAAGATAAATCTTAAAACAAAGTTTTACAAAAAAAAAAAAAAAAAGATTAAAAAAATTACAAAAAAATTTGAAAAGCAAAACAAAAAATACAAGCAAATATAAAAAATTTGTTTAAAAAAAATTACAGTCTTTAATTGTTTGGGCTTTTATTGGAGTTTCAAAAGAAAGCGCAGCTTTCTGGCATTTTTGATTGTTGAAGTCACAAAACTGCATCTTTAATATCTATTCTTTGCCTTGCTAAGTTCAAGCTATAACTTTGCACCACCTATAGTTTTATGCAAGATTTAAAAACTATGATTGATGTCTTGGCTTGGCGCCATCTATAGTTTATAATTTGCAAAGGACTAGAAATTCGGAACCTGCTGCAAGAATAAGATTTAAATACTATGGTTGATGTATTTGATAAAGTGAAGTTATATCGCTGCGCCCTCTATAATTCAAGTTATGTTAGATATTTGTGGTTTGTAGCCTCGTTAAAATACGGCGATGGCATTGCTCCATCTAGTTGATGTTGATTACACTTATATTTAGGTTTACGTCTTTGCTTTGTGGTTATAATATAGCTATTTCACAAATCTTCGAAAAATAGTTAAGTTTCGCTTTAGCAGTGAAAGCTTTTGGTATGGAATTTAGCTTAGCAAAGCCATGGTTCTGCCCTCGGCTATTCAGCAATTTCGTATACTGTACTTTTATATAAGATAGTCAAGGAAAATAATGCGTGTTATTTAACAGCAGCAAAGCAACAGGTAGTAATTTCAAAACATTTAAATAATTGTTGTAATGTTAATATTTCAGTGGATATTCAATACAGATTGACACGTAGAATTAATATATATAGTATTTACAGCAATATGGAAACGGCCTTTCATACAGAAAATTTGAATTCCAAATAAATTTATTGTAACATAGTAATTGAATGTCAATTAACATTTACAAAACAGCTGATTTTTATAATGATAAACTCAAAATGAACTGTTGAAAAAACAAGTTGGCATCGCCATTCACATTTCTGTGCAGTTAGCAGCTTGGTCACCTGTTGAACACCTGTTATTAGTTTGTCTTCTTCTTTGGTCGCGTACGGGTGTGTCGCGGCCGTCGATTTAAATTGCGTCGGCGGCATTGTTTATAAAATCAGTTCACCGAACAGCGTTCGCGCGATTGTGTTTGTGTTAAAGTTCTTCTGCGCGTTGTTTATATGTAAGTTTTGAAATGCCGCTAAGTAATAGCTAATGCATATTGAGAACAACGGAAAAGAGCAAAAATATAAGAAAACAGAAAATACAAATTTTTTTTGTTAAGTAAAAGAAGTTAGCAAGTCGAAGAGTTCTGTGGCGACGAACGCGGCAAACAGCAACAGCAGCAGCAGCACAGCAGGCGGTGGCGTAGGCTGTAAAAATAGTTGTCTGTCTGGTTTTTGTCTTTGTTTGTGCATGAGGCTGCGTATCCGTTTGCATGCGTGTGTGTGTGTGAGTGTGAGTGTGCAGCAACAATTTAATTGTGAACTAAAACAGTTCAATTACAAGCAATTACAAATATGTAATTTACTTTGAATTGCATTTGCGCCTGGGGCGGTAATTAAATATTTCAGTTGCCAACGCAATTGGCATTAAATAAACAAATAGTCAAAAGATAGGCAAATACAAATATAAACACATACAACACACAAAAGGCAATCGCAACAATTACAAAATATATTTGGGGAAGGGGAACATTTGAGTGGGGGGCTCAGCTTGGGAGCATAAATGGCGTAATCATAATCTTTTTGCCCTCTTTCTAATGATTCAATTAAAAGCGCAAATTGCAGGCCAGAAATTCAATTTAGCCAATGTGCGGTTGTCGACGCGTCGCGACGTCGACGTTGACATTGAGGTAGCAGAGGCCAACGCGTCGCTGCCCGTTGCTTTCTGGTTGCTGGTTGCTGCTTGCAGCAATACGTGCGTCGCGTGCCTTTTGTTTTGTTCTTGCTTTGCGCTTTGCCGCGAAACGTCACATAAAAAATGTATTTATTCTTGCTGAATATTTATTCATTTTTATTAATTTGGAAAAAGCAAAAAAAAAAAAAAACAAAAAAAAACAAAAAAAATGTTTCGGAATAAAACCTGTTTTATATGTGAATAAGTGAAAAAATCACAAAGTATAATTGTTTAAGATATTTGCGGTGTGGTTTCTGTGTTTGCATGGCTGTGTATATATATTTAAGTGTGTGTGTGTTTTTGCCCTTCAGTCAAAGTAACGGTTGTTTATTGCAGCGAAAGAAAGAGCTAAACGAACGTAGGGTGAGGCGCAAAGACAGCGAACGAGTGCCGTCACATTTTTTGCTCAGCAAAACAGAAACAACAATTGACGCCGGCATTGGCTTGAAAAAAAAAGAAAACACGTAAAAAAAAAAAAAAAAACGCAACAGCGGCCACATTCCAAGCGACAGCGAGTGGCCCCCAAAGCTCAGGTCAGCCGCCCAGCGGCTCTCTCACTCGCACAGCCGCTGCACCAGCATCAGCATCAGCCTCAGCCTCAGTGGGTAAGTCAACTACATCAACGTCAATTTTCTGCTGCTGCCACGTCTTCTTCTCTTGAGTTGTTCGCTCCTGCCGCCCTTTG